GCGGCGGCGTCCGCAAAATCGCCCTGGTCCCACGTGGCCAAAAATGCCAAAACTCGCGTTGTCGTCAACGTGTTAAACACCCAGGTGATCTCTCTGGTTGGGCCCTGGTGGTTAAATAGCGAGAGATACCACCTCTCATAATTCGGAGGGGATATCAATCCGCAATGAAGGACTGCAACGCAGGAAGTGATGTCAAGCTCTGACTCGAAAGCGCTGTTGGCCGGCTAGTTTCGGGCTACCACACGCAGCGAAGTGATGAATGCCGCGTGGCTAAGGACGTGAAATGGCTAACGTGCGTTGAATTTGCCGTGCATCTAGCTGGACAGAGAGAATGCCAGAATATTTGAAACTGCGCTCGGAACACGATCTTCAACTAGCTTCTTCGCTGTGTTAGAAGAAATTTCTTCTACTGGATTGAATGCAAACTCGTTCCGTTTTCTTGCCCTGTGCTCCCATACAATATTTCGACCGCAAACGATACCCATATTTGTCAAAACCTATGCCTTTAAGTCCAGGGGTCATTAAATGCACAGTTGAAGTCTACAACGTCAAGGCCATGATTTGGCCTAACAATACGTTGATTTACCTCGCTTCTACTGTCTGGTATCTTCTGAACTTGCCATGACTGTTACCTGCAACTCCTGCATTCTTTTTTTTTTCGCCTGTTTCGGCTTGATTTTTGATCAGCAACGGTATTTTCTTACGTCATTTATCCCATGCCATATATCATCACTTTTATATATTATATCACGCGGGCATGTTTATGATTCTACACAGAAAATCGTGCACCCTAATTAGGTGGTGATTGAAAATGAATTTAATTTCCGTCTTTTCGATAGGTACTCCATCATCGTTATTATCTTCATTTATCAGCTATTTATCAAGTACTTAGTCTTTAGTTTGAATCAAGAAAAAAAAACGGTGAAGATTCTTTTCTGTCATGCTGCACTTTACATGACGTCTTTCGATTTTTAGCCGAGCGTGTGCCTTCAATATTTATGCGTTTTTTCTCACATATAGAGCTTCATAGTTTATGAATTTTCCTTTTTAGCGTCTTATACCGATTCGTTCTTGCTCTCTGGCTGAAATCATTTCGAGCCTTACCTTCCAGTTGCAGTGACATTTGTCTTGACACCTGAAAACCATAAATTACCATAACTCCCCCTCCGATCGTTTGAAAAAGCGCGACGGATTAAAATTATAACTTCCTCCGTGTTTCTCTTATCACAACCTATTTTGTCTACTTCTATAACAGAGGTATCTTATCAGACTCAGCTGGCTGGCTGACGTAGTGGCTAGTGCTGGTTGCACCCACTTGCAGGGTTCAAGGGTCGAATCCTTGACGTAAGCAAACCAGCCCTTTTGGCGCTTCGGCTGGGACCGTATGCTGAATGTTGGGGAGGGGATGGAGTCCCCGACGGTGGACGGACCACTTCAACTCGGTCCTTAGAACCGCCACAATTTGGTGCTTACCTCAGAACTAAGCCTTAAAGAGAGGACGGGTCCGTCCCCTCTCCAAGGCTTAGTCCTGGGGTGAGCAAACCAGCCCTTCTGGCGGAGCTGCTGGACCAGCTGCACCACTTGCGTCAGTACTCTCCTATCGTACCAACCGAGTTGAAGTAAACCGTCGACCGTTGGGGACCCCATCCCCTCCCCAACATTCAGCATACGGTCCCAGCCGAAACGCCAAAAGGGCTGGTTTGCTTACCTCCGAATCTTGATCAAGTCTCCTAAGACTGTCACGCCTTGCATTTTCCTAAGGTCACTTAATCGGTACCGAACTGCATAGGAGGATGTGAACACTGACTTGTGCATAGTCTGGCCCACAATTCATTGTACAAGAAGTGCCGCACTCGAATGCCACCACGATTCTGAATTAAAGTAGAATGCATGGCGCGTCCCAAAAGGGATAAATCAACGCTCGAGCTTGGGTCTTTTTCGAGGCTCAGCTCGGATCCTTTTTTACCTCTTCGATAACGATATAGACTCTTGCAAGACCTTTATCTTTCAGTCCCCGCTTACTCCAAAGCAGCTAAGCGGGCTCAATGAACAGGGGCACTTGCTGCCTTAACCACAGTGGAACTACTGGCACTAGAAGAATTGCGCTTTCTACCCTATCCTGGAATGTTTCTAGTCTGTCCTGAAGGCGGCTATTTTGGTACGGATTCTCCCCTCCTCCCCACCCTGTTGAAATATTAAATGCTAATTCCAAACGGAATTGCTTTTTAAAACGGGTAACTAGCACAAAAACCTTACGCATGTGCCATTCACTAATCCCTTTGTGGGATACGCATTATGCTTCCATTATCCATTCGTAGTGGCGATTTGGCCTATACAATGACTTGCGGGGGCCAGCCGATGTACAAGTCAGTGTTTTTATCCTCCCAGACAAGTCTGGTACCAATTAACCGACCCCGGAGGGATGGAAGGCTTGGTTGGCCCGGGCGACTCACGACCCAGGATTTGATCCCGGACCGCTCGCGTGGTGAGCGCGCCACTTGCCACTACACCACTTCCGCCCAAAACGAGTAGTAGCAAAAATAGTTGCCCGTGCAACACTTCAACTTATGCTATGAACAGCTGGCTAGAAAATATGCTCACTCACCTACTGAAAAAGCATTTGAGGAAGAAAGCCCCCAAACCTCTGTTAAAAATCGAAGGTTCACATATAATGTGATAGACTCTCGCTAGGGTTGGTCGAAGGTGATGAAATTATTAATCAGAACATCAAAAAATTGCATCTTCTACGAGTGTAGAAGAACTTTTACATATAGAGGGGCTATTCTGGTAATGACCTCAACCAGTTACTAGCTCTCTTACACTTTTTCTTGAGCATCGCCAAGGTCAAGCCTTCGCCCATCAGTATTGCAAATATTTATCATCAAATTTTCTCAAATATCAGGCCTTTCAACAAGCTCCTTCGCTTTTATGACTCTTCACTTTCGAGTTTTTTTTTTATTTTGTCCCAATCCTGAGAACAGCCATTGCCACAGATACTGTTTCGAAGAACTTTTCCCGCTCTATATGTGAGTCATCTTGGTTCTAAACCATTTTCAATAACTTCTTCAAAGCCTTGAATACGGTATATTCAATGAGCAGGTCCGCATTTTTTTCTTTCTCAAGGTCAAAGTAACTCTAAAAACAACTAATACAGGTCAAGATATTAAGGCACAACCCAGGCGGAGGTCGTGTGAACGCTTCCCTTCGGTCTGTAGTATAGACCCCTAGAGGACAATCACAAATGTGGCGTTCCCGTGCACGGAAACCAACCGACAAGAGCGCTTGGGCCTTGCAAAGTAAGCTGCTAAGCTGCAGATTTTTTGTTGTCTGGCGCTCTCTCATCTGTAGCGCTCTCTCGCCTCATACTCTCCTCTCCGCGCTTAGTCTCTCATTCCCTTAGCACAGCCGATTAGGAAGGTGAGTGAGCCCTTAACCTAAGCGTTTTCGACGGATTCTTTTCCTTTTTTCTTTACTGCCGGCCCATTTCGCACCAATACATTCGCATTCGTGTGCAAGAGCCACACCAATGTGATCCTGGGGCATGCCTTTAAAGTTAAACTTGTGATAGATATGCGTTGAAACAGTTGCTCCAAAAGTTATTGTAACGAAACCGAGAGCCTTGAAGATGACGATTGGTAGTCGGATATCGGACATGGCCACCGATTAACCAAACATTCTCTTTGAAGCCCTCTTGCATAGAAGCAGTGAGAAGCATTTGCCCAACTCACATTCCAATGGTTTTTGTTTCAGTTTGAAAGGTTTGGTTTGAGCCGAAATAAATGTATTTGAGATCCGGGGTCGAAAAACGACAGAACTTTTTGGAAGAGCTAATATTTTTGGGATAGCGGTTCTCATTTGTAGATCGAGCTTACAAAAAAAAAAAAAAAAAAAAAAAAAAAAAAAAAAAAAAAAAAAAAAAAAAAAAAAAAAAAAAAAAAAAAAAAAAAAAAAAAAAAAAAAAAAAAAAAAAAAAAAAAAAAAAAAAAAAAAAAAAAAAAAAAAAAAAAAAAAAAAAAAAAAAAACCTTATTTCTACAGGGGTGGCCAAAAAAAAAGAGACACTCAGCCCATGGCGCACATCATCGAACTTTTCGTCACACAGGGAGCCGATGTTAATGAAAGTTTTATGGCGTTATATTCCTTAGTTGTTCCTCCGTAAACAGAAGCAAGCACTCCTTCACTGCCCCTGCCGTCTCCAGAATATGACGTCTTACCGAAATCGCTCCGACCTGAAGCTGCTACACAATTTCCTCAGTGAATTAATTGTTGAATAGCTTCCCAGAGACATTAGCTGTGAATGTGCAAAACCGCTTTTGACCTGCGTTTCAGAGACGTCGTAATCGTCTATGGTATCTCAACGACCTCGTTGAGATCGTACCGCGCACAATGCTTCCGTGGGAAAATCTTCTGATGTCGTCGGTGTAGAAGGCTGTTGTGTAGCTTGTTGATAGATTATAACGTGCTCTTCAATATTCAGTTGGGGTCATTTGGTTTGGTTTCGCGATGCGACCGCGTGCGATAACTTTCCGATTTTGATGCTTCGCGCTGAGAGTTCTCCTTTTTGGCCAACCCGGCCCTCTACTTCAGTAACATTTTGCCACATGTTTAAAAACGCGGCCTTCATAGGAGCTTCCCTGTTCAAATGTCCGTGAAATTGTGGTGATAAATATTTGTCCAACCAGCAGGCAAAGGCTTGGAGCCCTTGAGCATAACTCACGTCCCAGCTTCGATAAGAAACGTCCACTCACGCGTGCTACCGCAAAATCAAAAACCTCCCCGTCTTGGCCGCCGCCGTCGTGCTCGTTGATGATGATGATGATCAGCCGACGTGAGCTTAATTGGCGTAAATAATTTCGCTGAGCGCCCCTATAGACACCCGTCCAACATGAATGATTGCTTTTGCTCTCGGCTCCATTCGAAACCACCGACCGTGTCGCTGCTTTGTCGTGCCTGCCTCGTTTCCGAGATATTTTCGTCCTTTGCCTTGCTGCTGCCTGCACCATGGTTCAGGCTATATTCGAACGTTTACAGTCATACACGATGGCTCGGAAGGATACACGGACAAAACTGGCCAGAAGTAAGAGCGCGGCTCGATCTCGCGCACCACATGCTACTGGGCGAGACATGACACGACGGCCGTATGAAATCACCACCATCGTGCTGGGAGCCACTAAGGTAAGCACTGAGGCAAGTGTGGGGCGCAATTACGGTAATCGATTACCGTGTTATCGCAGAATGGCCAAATTCCATAATATTATAGAATACTATTTTAACACTCGTTAATTAGGACACATTTATGCGGGACATATTTTCCTTCATGGGGTGTTTTTCCATTTTGCAAATTTTCTTCATAATTTTTTTTCAATCTCATAAAGATACTTTTTTACGAATATAGCCGCGCTTTTTCCACTTCACCCCTTCCCCTCCAAAACATCAAATACAATCTCCTCTGGACATTGCGACCCGTCGTTGAACCCGTCGTGACAACTATCAACAGGCGCTTGACCGTAGCCATAGCCTGGCCAAAATCTGCGCTCCTTGACAGGGATCTATAACACACTAAAATTTAATTTGGTAAAATTCAGGTAGGAAAATCGGCGTTGGTGTCACAGTTTCTCTGGGAGCGTTTCCTGACCGATTATCGGCCAACTGTTGAGGAATTCAACTGGATTGAGTATGATGTCGAAGAAGGCAGTGCACTAATGTTACAGGTAAATATTTTATTAATCGATATTTCCTGCTCAAAATAACAACCCAGATGAGATCGTGTCAAATATGTAGTGTATTCCGTGGGCAGGGTAGAGTAGCCAATGAATATCACAAATGTCCCGTTGTTGCGGCTCAGTGCGAGACAATGGTGCTAGAGCCTTACAAACGAGCTAATAACGGCTAATGTGATCCAATGAACGAGATATCTCTTGCACTCCTCTTGGCAGACAACATGAGTTTAAAGCTAATGGTTAATTCAAATTAGCGCGAGTTACTGGAGTCATGGAGCAGGCAACTCCACGTGACTCGTCTAGACCCGCCGCTTCCTCGTTTTGAGGGGAAGGGAGAAAGTCTTCTATTAGGGGCCTCGTGGTCGCATGCTTTGCATCTTTCTTTCATTTTCAGTCAACTCGACATCTACAATTTCATTATACATAGACCGCTATGGCCCCGCAAATTTGATCTGTGGTTGTTGCGTTGAGTAGAAAGTAGCTGTAGTCGTTGAAAGTCAGAATTTTCTTTTCAAGACCCATTTTACTCCTGATCTGGAATTAGCTTAGCTCTGAGCAAACTGGTATCCAACGGCAAAGGTGATAAGGCCAATAAACTTTTTGGTGAAGGGGACTGACCAGTTTCGACCTGCAATAGTCAGAAATGAGGACAATAACGTTATGATCCCTCTGCTTGCACAGATCCATGTGATGTTCTAATCGTTTCATCGGGACAGTGAAGGGCGAAATGCGCAGAAGATCAATAACTATGTTCTGTGTGGGTGGGACCTCCATTTAGAACAAAGTATACATGAAAGCGACTTGGTCGTACGCTGAAGTCGGGTGAGGGAGTGGCGATGAGTCAGCCCAATAGAGCATTAGGCAAAGAAATCCAGTCTGGCATACGCTAACCTTCTATTTCCAGTCAAAGTCCCAGGAGCACTTGGATGTGATTTTAT